GGGGTGGACTGGGGCTGCTTTGGATGGGACTTGTAAGTCAACATGTAAAATTGACTTCTTTTTTTACTGTTAAATAGATTGAAATTGCATATGTATATGAAATTTAGGTTCTTTCGTTTTAGCAATCAAAAGCACGACAGCTATTGGCACGCCCATCTATTCATGATATTATAAAGAAATCCAGATAACTACATACATTGTATTATATGGTATGTGTAACATATTATCTTGTACACATGACTACCAGGGATAATGCCTTGGTCACATTTAAGCCGATGGTCGGGCGATCTGATTTTCTGGTCTTGTCGGCTGAAAGAACATGATCGGCCGAAACAAGTATCGGGCGACACGGAGCAGTCACATTAATTTCTTGGAACACCGATGACTTGGATAAATAACACAAAAATTCTTTACAAATCATCAATATTTTTTACAGAGGTGACATGAGTAATGTTTGCAAGGCAAAGTGGCAGAATTTTGTAAAATTGTGTGCAAAATTTTGTATAGAATTGCATATAAACAACATATCTAAGCAGCAAATAATACGTTAATTATTTATGTTTTTTCCGTTCAAAAAATATATATCAATCCATGCATCAAAATTTTGTTTGTGTTATGCATCCTTAATAGGTAATATATTCACAAGTCGACCAATCGTCGCCCGATCATCGAGCTCTGAGCTACAGTTTGATTTTAACCATCGGCCGAAAATTTGAACACCCTTATTGTCGTACGACGGACGACCGACTTAATAAACTGACTGCAGATAGTCGGACGATGATCGCAGGTTGGTCGACAGATAACTTCAATTGAAGAAATCGGCCACCGATGCAGAAAAAATTATAACTTGGACCGATGGACAAAAAAATTGGTCGGCCGACAAAAAAGTGGTCAAAATCGGTCAAGACAACGGCCGATGAACTGACGACTGTCACCCGAAGAATCCCATTTTTTGCTTCAAAACCCGTCGGCCGTTTGTCGTTTTTTGGCAATGTGACTGAGTTTTAATGTTATCTCGTTCCTACGACTTAATATCTCGTACGTACCACTTATTATGTCGTACGTACAACTTATTATGTCGTACCTACGACTTAGTATCTCGTATGTACGACTTAGTATCTCGTACGTACGACATAGTATCTCGTTTGTACGACATAGTATCTCGTTCGTACGACTTATTATCTCGTTCGTGCGACTTAATATCTCGTACGTACGACTTAATATCTCGTACGTACGACTTATTATCTCGTACGTACGACTTATTATCTCGTACATACGACTTAGTATCTCGTACGTACGACGTATGGACTAAAAAATAATGCATGAAAGAATGTAATCGTTTAGTACGGAGGAATAGATCGCACCAGCAAGTTCCTATCAAGTTCAATTATAACATTTACCAGATATATATTATATGTTGGTAAATATAATTGGGGTTATCCGTCCGATTTTCATCGATAATGCTTAAATTCCATGTGTATAGATCAACTCACACAAGTGTTTATCGTATGGACTATACACATATGTATATTCATGAGCGCCGAATACTAAGCTATGCAGACTTTAAATGGGTTTAAGGAAAGGCGTATAAAGTGGAGAAAAGAGAGTCCTGTAATTATACATGAATGCGTTTTATCCCAATATGTTACCTCGCATATCAGAAACTGCATGGACTACTTTGTAAAAAAAAAAAAAAAAACACACTCAAAAAATAATAAAGACTGATATCTATTCGATATGATTTTTATGTCAGGCTATAAAAACTGAAAAATTTCCGTATTTATATCAATTTTTTAACGTACCGTAAGTTAAACTTTTAGGATTGTTACCTCCTATAGTGACAGATTTTTTATCGCACTTAAAACATATTCTAAGCTTTCAAGTCGTGTTTGTTCACGGTAGAATTGTCATGAATATCATATTATTCCCAGATGCGCTGAAAGTTTACAAAAAGTTTGTTCTAAAAAAATCTTTGAAGCAAAAAACATAATAACTACGTGTTTTATTTATTTTCTCATGGGTTTGTCTAAATGCTGTTATCTGATTGGTCAAAAGGACTAGCGCCTTGTTTATTCTGTGTATTGATAGCAATTCACGGTTATCGTTCTTGACTTGAGTTCCTTATTTGGAAATCGTCCAGACCTGTTTAACACAGATTTATTTAAATTGTGAGTGATACTGTTTTCGTGATGGATGACCTCAATTCAATAATTGTCAATTCGAATGACTTACTTCAAGACATTGATCACATTCCTAATCGAAAAGCTATAGACAGCACTGTTAATCAACACGGACATGAATTAACTGACTTTCTAAATGAAGCAAATTTTTGTGTATTGAATGGTAGATTCCCAGATGATAACTTCACATGAATTTCAAGGAAGGGAAAATCTGTAGTAGACTACTAGTATATACGCGTAACAATAGATGTATTTAGACGAAACAAGAACTTTACGGTATTAACTATATAGAACATTATAGCGGAATTTAAACTGTTGAATTTTGCCGGGGGAAAATCAAAACTTTCTGATTATTCCGTCATCATGTGTGAATTTAATGTGTCCGATTGTTGCTTAGTTTCTAGTACCCCAAAAAGTGAACACAATCAAAATCGTTACGTCAAGTGCATTAAGAAGGTCTGCTTTGATAGCAACAATTGATCTGATTGAAAACAGCCGTAAAACACAAAGTATTGACGAGATTTATGAACAACTATGCGAAATAATTTAAAATGAAAAGAAAGTTCCTTTATAAACAAAAGGATTATGAAATATTTAGAGCATAACAATATTTTAGCAGATGAACAAAATGGTTTTAGAAAGAATAGATCGTGTGAAGATCATTTATTTACATTGTGAAGATCATTTATTTACATTGAATATATGTAGTTTAGTCCAAAACAATAAAAAATCTCTATGTTGCATTTATTAACCCTCAGAAATGTTTTAATTTTGTCGATAGGGATATGATGTTTTACAAACTTTTGTTACATAATATAGATGGTAAAGTTTACAACTCGATAAAAAATATTTACCAAAGTTCAGAATCTTGTGTAAGAGTGAATAATAAGCTCACAAATTGGTTAAGATGCAAAACTGGTGTTAAACAGGGAGATAATTATCCCCTACCTTGTTATCAATTTTCATTAATGATCTGGTACAGGATATTAATAATCTTAATTTAGGCATAGAACTAATAGATTGAAAATTGTCCATCCTATTATATTAAGTGTAGGAATAACTGGTGCAGTGATCTGAAAGATATATTACACCAACTGGATCTAGATTACCATATTGAGTCGAAGCTTATGGTAGATATAAACATGGTTCAATCAAAAATACACAATTCAATATGACTAAACATAGCTTTTCTGTTCTTGGGATTTTTCCTTTATTTTCCTAAGTTAAACTTTGATCGACCTTTGTGGCCCCGCCCTTTCCCGGATGGGGGGGGGGGGTCGGTTGTTTTGATTTGAACAATCTAAAATCTACACCAAGGAGGTTGATTCCATATAAATATCACTAATCATGGCTTTGAAGTACTTGAGAAGAAGATTTAAAAAGATTTCCCTATATAAGTAGTATAAGCATTCTCGCTAGCCCGGAAGTGACGTCATAACCGGAAGTGGCCCGAACTGGTCTAGCGGAAGCGGAAGTGGGCGGAAGTGGTCTAGCGGAAGTGGGCCCTAGCTGAAGTGGGCTAGCCGGAAATGTCCTAGTCGGAAGCTGACTGGATGACCGGGTCAACTGAGTGAAGTTCTAACCCTAACCCCCTATCCCTAATTAGCCCTAACTAACCCTAACACCCTAACCCTAACCCTAACTAACCCTAACCCCTAACCCTAACTAACCCTATCCCCTAGCCCCCTAACCCTAACCCTAACCCTAACCCTAACTAACCCTACCCCCCTTAGCCCTAACTAACCCTAACCCTAACCCCCTAACTAACCCTAACCCCCTAACCCTAACTAACCTTAACCCTATCCCCCTTAGCCCTAACTAACCCAAACCCCCTTAGCCCTAACTAACCCTAGCCCCTAACCCTAACTAACCCTAACCCCCTAACCCTAACCCTAACCCCCTAACTAACCCTAACCTATTCCCCTTAAATACTGGAGTTGTTTACACAGTGTTTTTTACATTGGTACGTAGGTACTACGTTTTTTTTGTTTATGGACATAAGTAAATACTTGGCAGCGAGCCAAGTTTGTTTAGAGCCGTGTGCAAAAAAAATATGCTGACTACACAGGTAAATACTTGGCAGCGATTCAAGTCAGGGGACCGTGTGTAAAAAATATGCTGACTATACAGGTAAATACTTGGCAGCGATTCAAGTCAGGGGACCGTGTGTAAAAAATATGCTGACTACACAGGTAAATACTTGGCAGCGATTCAAGTCAGGGGACCGTGTGCAAAAAATATGCTGACTACACAGGTAAATACTTGGCAGCGAGCCAAGTTTGTTTTAGAGCCGTGTGCAAAAAATATGCTGACTACACAGGTAAATACTTGGCAGCGAGCCAAGTTTGTTTAGGGCCGTGTGCAAAAAAAAAAACTTACCTATGCATTGTGACGTCATCCATGTCAGCGAGCTACCCTATGCATTATGACGTCACACTTTTTCATTTACAGTCTAGACAGCCTATAGTCTAGCCAGCCTAACCAGTTTGAACTGAATTTTTTACTGAAAGACAATAACAAATAACACACAATACAAAAAAAACATGTGTGTGTGTTATGTCTCTCAAGTTATTACACCAGGTCACTTTTTTAAAAAACTTAGAATTTCTTTTTAAATTTTTTAAACTTTTTTTAAAATTAACTTTAAATTTTTTAACTTTTAACTTTTTTAAAATAACTTTAAATTTTTATTTATTCTTATTAATTTTTTTTTTTGGTAAACTCCCCTTATAGTTTTTAAGAAATAAAATTAAAAAATCATGTAATACTACATCAGTGTTATGTTATTGTATGACTTCATCTTTTATACAGTCGGGTTCGGGGTTTCGGGCGGCCATGGCGAATTTTCGGCAGGATTTTTATCCCAGTGAAAAAGGCTTGTAATTTACCCTGTAGGTCTTTTAAAGTTGTTTCACATTGTTTATGATTGTGATTATGTTATCGCTCACCTATATGTTTAATGTCAGCTATGCTAAATAACCCATTTCTGTGTAATTTGAGAGAATGTTTTGACATGTGGTTAAAGTATGGCGTGCTATTCATGTTATCATTTAAAAAGTCGATCCTAAATAAATCTGTCTTAAAAAATACATTTTACGAATGACATTTAATATGATTGATTAGAGTATAGGTATCCATATATAAGAGATATTATTTTGCATTACATTTAAACATGTTTTTCTGTCCTGTTTGTCTGTCAATTGTTGCTTTACTTCCTTTGTAAAATGAGGTTAAATTGAGTATCACTGAATATTGTATGCTTTTTTTCAGGATCAGCTAAGATGTTGTTTCACTGGATTATTTAATTGGGCATATAATTGGATATCTCTGGTAAGTTTGTCTTTGTTTTGTTTACATTTTCCTATGAAGGTCATCTTTGCATTTAATCATGATTATGTAAAGTTCTGTTTTGAATGTAAATACTATATTTATCCTCATTTCATGTGATTTACAGTTGTATAACCTGCATGTAACTCAGAGTGCATTTAATATTTCTATGATGGGTCATTCTATGATATTGAATTTCAATCAGAAAAATGTTCACTAAATTTTGGTAAAATACATGGTATCTTTTACATTTCTATCCCTTTTGTCTGTAAATTACTTTGCTTTACTTACATTGTTAAATGAGGTTAATTGTGTATCACTGAATTGTATGATTTTTTCAGGATCAGCTGAGATATTATTTCACTGGATTATTTAATTGATAGACTTATTGGGCATATATTTGGGATATCTCTGGTAAGTTTGTCTTTGTTTTGTTTACATTTTCCTATGAAGGTCATCTTTGCATTTAAGCATGATAATATGGTTAATTTTATTACTGTATAATACTTATGTGATCTGATATCTCTAACTTACATTCATATAAACACACCCTTATTTAACCTAAAATATATTAACACATGATTAAGGGATCTTCAGAATATTAATAAGTCCTTTTGTATAAATTATATGATATAATTTCATAATTCATTATGTATGTTACCCATGGCCGTGGACTTCAGACTTACTAAATGGTGATCAAAGAGATATTAATTAGGAATCTAATAAGAGAAAAGGAAGAATTTATCAAAGATTAATCCTAAGTTATTTACTTTTTGTTTTGATTCTAAATATGTGGGATATATGACATACATATATTTTCATTTTCACTTTTGTTTCTTAGTAATGAGCTTTTCAAAAAATTAAGGACTACATGTTGTACTGTGATGATGCTAAAAAAGATGTATTTTTCTGTATGCAGAACTGACAGATATTAAACCAAAATTGAATCTGTTGTTAATAAAAAAATCTTTTAGTGTCTAAATAATTAATTTGATAATCATTTTATTTGTGATATCAATACAGTAATTGTGCTTTTTTTTATTATCTAAAGATAACATGATGAACTTTTCTCATCTGGAGTTAATGTTAAAAACAATTTTTGAGATTAAAAACAAACATTTTCATGAACTTTTTTGGCATTGTACATGTTTGTTCAATTTTTAAACATGTATTGTTTCACACAGTACTCTGTCATATTAACAAAATGGTTTTATTTTCTATACAGTCCTCAACCTGGAAGATATGTTTTGTTCCTAACCATCTATAATCCATTCTCTATGAAGTTCAGACTGTCTGCTCTTCCTTTAGAAATACACAGTTAGTCAGCCAACATAGAAACACACAAACTTGAAGGTAAAGTTTCAATGAGATACAATTGTAATATATATTTATTTATTATTTTATTATTTTTTTTTTACATATGCATGTTTATAATTTTGAATTGATATGTAAATGATATATTTAAATAAAAAGGGCTTGGTGGTCATGGTCATTTTTAGACTATGTTGATCTCCTTTAGAAGAAGAAGAAGAGCTCCATTTCAATATATATACAAAAATGCATGATCAAATGTTGAAACTAAAATGTATGAAAGTTTTCTTTGCCAAATGATAGTTAACAGCTGAAGATAGCATATCTATAGAATAAGTTAAATATGGCTAATTTGTAAACCCCCCCCCCCCCCCAGCTTCCTTAATATCATAGTTGGTAAAGATAGCAAGTTTTGACTCCAATTGCTGATGAATTCTGAATTTCCCATTTAATATTAACATTATATCACAGGGAAAGAATACTATAATGCAGCACATCAGGATGACCAGAAAAGAAATCTTAATGACCTTCTTAACTATGTATAAAGACTGTAACCTTATAACTGATGTAAGATAATCTGATTGTGTGGAATTAAAATTCCCTGGTGTTTCTACTACCCAAGATATTCTTATGAGTGCATGGGCCCGTTGTAAACCTTCTCCTGTTTATAAAAAATATACCTTGGAGCATGACACTTTATTCATAAAAGGTACTTTCAATATCATTTCTATGAGTTTTTGTTCTTTCTTTTTAATAATCTAGTGTTATATCTCATTTAAACCCATTAATATGTATGCTTCCAAAATCTTAGATCTGTCTGTATAGTTTTTTCAGCTCTTTGAACACAAATACCCTGATTCAATCTTTTGAGGTAAACATGATAGAGACACCATAGATGATTATCAGAGTGTGTATCACAATCTTAACCATAAGGTCAATTTAAATGGTCTAAGGCACAACAAATGAAAGTGAAAACTTTTTTTTTTTATTAGAATACATAATTTTGTAATAAACAAATACTGGAAAAGTTACTCTCATAATAAGCCTTAATGTCCTCCAAGAATTCAGTTTGGACTTCCTCCATTAATCCTTGTATCTTCTCCAATGGTTTTGTGGGCTAAAATTCATGTGTCTTTAACAACATTTTTTTTCTGACAACTGTTTTCTCTTATTATCTATAAACTTGACTTCTTCTGTAGTCAAAGGTCTTTCAGGGTAATCCAAGTAATTCTTACCCTCTTTTGGTAATAAATGGTTATATTCCTCATTGGCTTCTTCTGCAATCAAGGGTCTTTCTATGTAATCTCTGACAACATTAGGATCACCCTTCTCTGGACTTAATTGATTATATTCTTGTTGAGAAATGATCTCAATAGTGCCATCTTTTTTTATTTTAACTGGTATACCTCTGTCTATATCTTTCCCTGAAAGAACTCTCTTTCCAAACTGAATTTTACTCATTCCTTTACTCTTTTCTTTACTGGAGGTGTTACCCATGGTTAATATGAAAAAGTCAAAATCTTATGTTACAACTTGTATTTATACCTTCTTTTTTTTGTCTATATTTAGAATTCCATCAAGCTCATGTTATATAACAATTTTTTTTTTTTCAACTAAGACTTTTTTATATTTTTCAGGATTCTCACGGGGTGAAAGAGGCCTCGGGGTGGTAAGACCCGACAGTGAATGAGACCGAAATAACTTCTCACGTCCTGGAAGTCGTCTGTGATGATCTCGGGATGCCCTAGGGGAAAAGGTCTGTGTTTCAACACGTAAGGGTATAAGGAACACACGTCCACGTATCTCATGTCCCCTTCTTCACAATATAATTTAGTGGCATTGGTCCGGCCTCCGTACAGGGCTTCTCGAGGTTTCAAAGGATCCGGAATGTCCAGATCTCGTACAAATTGCTGTAAAGTCTCATCTTGTTGCACTTGTTGATCGAAATCGTGCTCCCAGATACTACACACGTTGTACCCCATGTCCTCTAAATCCGCAGTCCTTCTGAGGGTTTTCTCGTGTAATTGTTGGTAAGTAAATTGGGTCCGGTGAGGATGAGTTTCCGTCTGTAAACTGGGATAGCAAGTGGGGCATCCGTGCCAATAGCATCCGTAAAATTCGTAGACGGTGCGAGTCGCTTCCTGGTATCCGTCGACGGTATAATTTCCGATCGGGACTTCGCCTCCGTTTCTGGCATGTCGTATGTGACATCCATTCTGATGACTCATCCAGGTGAGCCATCGACAGGCTTTGGCCGAATATTGTCGTGCCGGTTCATACCCGAGGTTCGGAATGATGGCAATGCTGTCATTAGGCATGAAATTTCGACGGTACGCTAAATTAGCAGCACTAGCAAACGTGATGGATTCCTGGAAAGGGTCCACGTTGACCAACTTCTTGAGGGTGCTTCTAAACCGTGCACAGCATTTGTGTAAAATGTCGACGTCCGAGATACAATACCCTACAAACTCTTTCTGGAAATCAAACACTTTTCCCCTCTGTTGGTTGTACCATTCGTAAAAAGCCTCTCGTCCACTGGTAGTCATTTCGTCCGGATTGTAGAAAGCTGCCGGTGGATAAGGTCCCACGTAATTCTGGTTCTGTTCCGTATTAAAAAAGTGAGGGAAATAACCTTTCTTCATTTCGTTCAAATCGAAAGCGGAGGGCATCTGGGCCAAAGGAAAGGTTAAGAAACTATACGAGTCGATGAATTTGAGTCCACATATTTCCATGGACAAGATCTTACTCCCGTTCATGATCACGTTAGGTTTCAGGGGAGAAGAATGCACTATGTAATTCAAAATGAATTGTCCGTCGTAGCCTTTGAAGTTATGGGCGATGACGATGGCCTCGTCGTGTACTAAAGTGGAATTCTTAGTACCTGTAGTGGGTTGAAATAACCAGTCCATGAACTTCTTTAAGGTGTCTGGGCCTTGAAATAGGTGCTGACGGGGTCCCATGTGTTGACAATGAGGACAAGGTTGGTCTATGGGTAAGTCATCGCAATGTTGACAGACGCGATGTGCCACACACAGATTAGGAACGTGAATGCCCGATTCCTGAGTGCATTCGAAATCGAAATAAATGGTAAACTCTAAGGTGTCTTCTCCCTTCTTCTTCTTCTTCTTGGGTTTCTGTCGAACGTAGCACCGATGATCGGCATCGACGATTTTCTTACAGATCTTACACTGTTTCTGATCTCCGCATTTGTGATGAGGAAATAATTTCTTAGGTATCCAGGACTGACATTTCTCGCATAGCCCCATTAAATTGCACACAGTAGTGCTGGTCTTCTTACTATGGGGTTTTAAATGATCTTCGTAGCAGGTCCTGTTCTTAAACATTCCATGGCATTCCTGGCATTTAATCTTGATCCCTTCATCGGGACATTTAGGGTGTGGTCCTAAACAATAGGGACAGCGATGAGGACATTTGGACCGATGGTCTGTGACATTCTTGTACCCCACGTCGCAATGATCACAGTAGTAGGGGTTCCCCGTTACTCCGGCCATCGATATGATGGCATCGCAATGACGGTTGTCTAACAAAATGTTCAAACAAGTTCCATCTCCCCAGCCTTTGAAAATGCGCTCTAAACAGAGTTTAGTCGAAGTAGATTTGAACTGAAATATTTTCAGACGATACTGAGGAGCTAATACCTGTTGTAATTTCGGCCACTCTGCATTTCCACAAGCTTGAGTGATATCACACCCGGCCTGTTCCATGAGGGCTATGGCTTCTCGTTTCTGGTCTAAGGATTGTCTATCTCCCTTCCGCATACGGAGCCAACGTTTTTCCCATTCGGGGTCTGGATGATCGGGTTTCTGACTGTGTAATCGAGTGACGACGATGGCTCTAGCCAAACAAAATTCATCATGGGGATTGACGATCCGAACGATGGATTGTTTATTGTTCTTGAAAGTTTCTTTATTCACTTGTAAATGTTTGGTTCTGTCTCCACCACTCCCCTGGGGATTCTCGATGTGTAACAGATCGAATTCCGTGGAGCCGTCGCCGATTTTGAACTCCTTTTTGGATTGTTGCACACGTTGTATTTCTTTAAAAATGACGTCTTCGTTTAATTCTTTACATTGCATAAACTGGTAAGAAATGTCTGAATCCAAAGATGGGTGACTTATGTTCAGACGGAGGTAATCGTTAGGATCACACTGCATTTTAGATTTGAAGTCCTGTAACATGTTTTTGAATAATCGTCGAAGGAAAGCTGTGCTTTCTTCTTCTTCTGGAAATTCATCGAAATGAACGACATATCTATTTTCATGCGCTTTAAATTTTGGAGAGGTCTTTCCTTGAGCTAGTCTCATATGATAATACTCCGAAATGGGTTTAGGTGGTAAATCTATTTCTCTCTCGGTACTTTTTCGTTTCAATATTCGTCGAGCCTGTACCTGTTTTTCTCTAGTAGAATCCATGTCTATCAGGTGATGGCTCTGAGAGTAAAATGAACCCAAAGTCGGAGAAAACCGTATTTATATACAGTGGATGACGTCACAATGCATAGGTAAGCATATTTTTTTTTTTTTTGCACACGGCCCTAAACAAACTTGAATCGGTGCCAAGTATTTACCTGTGTAGTCAGCATTTTTTTTTTTGCACACGGCTCTAAACAAACTTGGCTCGCTGCCAAGTATTTACCTGTATAGTCAGCATATTTTTTACACACGGTCCCCTGACTTGAATCGCTGCCAAGTATTTACCTGTATAGTCAGCATATTTTTTGCACACGGTCCCCTGACTTGAATCGCTGCCAAGTATTTACCTGTGTAGTCAGCATATTTTTTTTTTTTTGCACACGGTCCCCTGACTTGAATCGCTGCCAAGTATTTACCTGTATAGTCAGCATAAAAAAAACGTAGGTAAAACGTATTTTTTGCACACGCCCCTAAAATAAAGGTATAAACCAGAGCTGGATAATGAGGATCATTCTGTGTGATTACTTGGAAGTGAACACAGGTAAAAAAAAAAAAAAAAAAAAAAAAAAAGTTTCAGTGGTCAAGTCAGAGGTATGGAACCAAGGTATCGGTGGCTTATTGAGAATACTGACAAGAGTGGACCCTGGATGGAAACCCTAGAAGAAGCCACGCAGGATTACCATAAAACCCATTCAGAGGAATCTAATCAAAAACCATGGACTTATTGGGAATATTGTAAACAAATGTGGGGCTTGGATATGATGTCTCCGGAACAATCTAAAGAAAAAGTTGAAGAAACTAAACAAAAAGTATGGTTGGAAAAAAGAGTGAAATTTCCTGAAAATGATGTCGTGATAAGAAAGCACTGCTCTTTTGAGGGAATGAAGGGTTATCATCTCTACAAATGGGAGATCACAGCTGAGGATGATTATGATGATTTTCTGATTGGAACTCCATACTTTACCTCCGAGTTAGAATCGTGTATTGAAGATTTACTCCAGATCACGAGAGAAGGAAAAACGAGAGAAGGGATACCCTTAAAGAGACCGGGATTTAAGGGTCCTTTTGCACAGTATCTCCATGGAATAATTCCTTATTTTCCAAATGAAAAAGGTATTCCTTGGAGGACACGAGACTATGGTAATGATGATGATGATGATTTGAAGTTTGATGATGATTCGGACTGGATGATTAATTTCGACGGTGTTGGACTGGATGATTAATTTGGAGGGTATTTTTGATTAAAAGACAGCCTGGTAAATTGTTGTATGTATTTTTTTTTTTCATTGTGAATAAAAATTGAATAAAAATTAAAATCTGTGTTAGTTTCACTTTTGTTTCTTGGTAATGAGGTTTTCAAAAAATGAAGCTAGACTGTGAAGCGTGACGTCATAATCATATTCTTGAAATGTTTTGCACACGGCGCATTTACCTGTATAGTCAGCATAAACAAAACGTAGTACCTACGTATAGTGTAAACACACCCTGTATTTAGGGATAGGTTAGGGGATAGGGTTAGTTAGGGCTAGGGGGTTAGGGTTAGTTAGGGCTAGGGGGCTAGGGTTAGTTAGGGTTAGGGGGTTAGGGTTAGTTAGGGTTAGTTAGGGGGCTAGGGTTAGTTAGGGTTAGGGGGTTAGGGTTAGTTAGGGTTAGGGGCTAGGGTTAGGGTTAGGGTTAGGGTTAGGGGGGTTAGGCTTAGGGGCTAGGGTTAGGGGCTAGGGGGTTAGGGTTAGTTAGGGTTAGTTAGGGTTAGGGTTAGGGGGCTAGGGGGTTAGGGTTAGAACTGCACTCAGTTGACCCACTTATCCCCTTCACCAATCAGAATCCTCCATTTTGACCTCATTTGCATAAAAAGTGCACTCAGTTGACCCACCCGGCTAGACCCCTTATACTACTTATATATTCCTATGTAAAACTTTCATCTGCCATTGTGGCCCCGCCCTACCCCCGGGGATCATGATTTGAACAAACTTGAATCTACACTACCTGAAGATGATTCCACATGAGTTTCATCTTTCCTGGCCCAGTGGTTTTTGAGAAGAAGATTTTAAAAGATTTTTCCTATATACTCCTATGTAAAACTTTCATCGGCCATTGTGGCCCCGCCCTACC